GTAGTAACGTTTTACAGTTGAATGATTTGACTCCGCCTTTGCAGGATTGGAGTCAGTGGCCCATGATTGGATTCTCCAAAAACGTACTCTTGAGTAACGTTTTACACCTAAAACGTTACTCACAGGTACGTTTATGTGTTTAACGTCGTCAACCCGTTAACTTTTTGTCCGTTGAATTTTTATAATGAAAATATTCTAAAACGTTACCATAAAGTACGTTTATACTAGTTTTGTAAAAAAAATTAAAAACATATTATTTTGGTGAATTGGTTTTTAAAATAGCTCATTTTGGTCAAAAACTCAATATATCCTTTTACTTGGATTCGAATCACATTTATGTCATTCAACTTTAGGTGTGCACACTTAGACACTTAAACTTGTATAAAGTTGAACAAATAGACATACATGTCTACATGTCATACTACATGTCATTTTTTGTCCTACGTGGTGCCCTATGTGATTTGTGTAATGTAGGACTCATGTGTTTATTTATTTAAAAGTTGGATAATTAAAATATTTGTTTGTGCATTGTGAAAGTTGGAGGTCAAAGTTAAAATTTGAAGCCAAGTTTAGGGTCTAATATATGTATTATGCCTAAAAGTTATGTCAAATGTATCAAAATACTCCTTAATTTTGTGATCGTAAACATACCACGTGAAAAGTTAAGTTAAACTGTTAACAAAAAAGAAAAGAATCATCTTTTTGAAACATACTAAAAAGAAAATTTTGATCCGATTAATAAACTCAACTCTAACCACGATGATTTGCCTTCAGCTCTTTTTCTTCTTGTGAGTGTGAAAAAACAGATGCAAGAAAGTGCCCTCTGCTTGTATGATCAAATGGCTCATAGAAACTATTTATTTGTAGATGTAGTTGTTAAACTTGTAGCTATGTATTAAAGGCAAAACAAGTGCGGTTGTTGAATATGGGACCTATTTAATTGTGGACATGACATGACTACTTTACTTATTCTATTTTCTATCACCATATCTTTAAATCAAGTGCTCTACCACTGAGTCATCCATTCTTGTGGTTCTTAATTTAAAGGGCGTTTAATGTTTCAAATCATGAGAACCAGAGGAACATTGGTGTTGTTTTTTCACAAATTTATGGCCTCAAATCTCAATATTTAACTAATCAATAACGCTTAGGTGGATTATAAATCGGGTCAGAATTAATGATTCATAATTTAGTGAGAATTTTAGTTGACAATAATTAGGTGGAGGGAATAGTTTTGCGTGGTTTGTCACGTTATTAACATTTGAAATATTAAATCTTTACGATATTTGTGATCTTTTGAAAAGATAAAATTATCTATTTAACATAGTTGAAGAGCAATTTCTGACTGTTTTACCGTTTAAATTAAGACAAAGCAACAGAATGCTGGGTCTTATTCACACCTTCTTCAGTGCACTTAAAATTCAGGCAAGCTGAGACATTTTCTAATTTCATTGCAATTCAACTTTTATTTTCTCAACAAACTGATCATGAGAACAACACCTCGTTATAAATGAGATGTTTTCAACAAATTGGGTTATTCTTGCAAATTTTAGTAATTTCTCTGTTTTTTTTTATATTTTATCTTTTATTTTAATTTCAACTATTCACGTGACATTTTTAGGACTATATAATTTGCATGCTTTAATTTAAAATTATAAGACTCAATTTTCTTTTTCTTTCTTAAATATTAAAGAAGGCTAATAAGAGGAAAAATCTAATATTACTAACCTGAAGGAAATTTGCAAAAAGAAGTCATCATATCTTTGAACCAATCCATTTGAGTCCCCAAAGACACATTGTTATTGGGTATTATTCCCTTATCCAACAAGTAGGCAGAATCAAGTGCTGTTGCCCCTCCCACGGCAAAATTCACACCTTGCCTGAATTTTACATTATTCCTTTCATCTTTTCCTTCCAAATATGCTGGCACTAATGGGAGCCCCAAACTCTCAGCTACAAATACAACAAGTGATCACAAAAAAAATAAAAAAATATATATATAAGGCATTCAACATCTTTGCATAAGAGTTTAGACTTATTTAGTATTTATCATACATGTAACAAATTTGTAGATACGTACCAATAAAATCTATAACAAGACGTCCATCAGAAAATCGACCGGTAGGATGATGAAAGAAGGTTTCACCATAAGGTGGCAAGGAGAAATGGGAAGGAGGGGTTTTGTTTAGAGAGATATGAAGTTTATTTCCTGTGTCAGCAAGCGAATCGCCGAAACTAATAATAGAGTCGAAACACCCCTCAATTCTCTGAAAATTATGGTTTAACACCAAAAAAATGAAACTCCATTTAACCAATTTTAGAGAAGAAGAAGTCATGATAAAGACAGACAAACGGCGTTTAATTTGCAACAAAGAAAAAAAGTCACATTTTTATAAGCGAAAATGTGACACAAATGATCCCTTATATTTAGTGCTAGGTTAAAAGTAGTTCATTAAATATCATCCAAGTGATTTTGGTCTTTTAATTTAAGATTATGAGTATTTTTGGTCTATTTATCAATTTTTTGTTTGTAAATTTACTGATTAAATTATGAGTTAAAAGGTTGATAAATATCTGATAACGGTCAAAATAGTCCTTTTTGGCTAACTTTAAAAAGATCAAGATTGTTCATATATAATAAAAGGACTATTTTAAATTTACTACCAAAAATAAAGAACTATTTTTATCATTTTTTAAAAACTCTATGTCATGTTGAAAGCATGAACGTCGTTTCAGTTTATTGTACAATCCTTAGTGATTAAATTTGTCCCCACCAAACTACTCGTTGAAAAAAAATGGAAAAAAAATTTGAAAAATATTTTAATTTTAGTTAAAATTATTGTTATAATATCAAATTTTATAAAAAAATTTTTACCTTATATTATTTGATAATGTATTTTAAAGACATATATGTGGTGGACACATTAGTATTTTCAATTATACAATACTTTTTATGTGCACATGAACACATATATACATTTAAAATATATTATTAAATAGTGCATGGAAAAATATTCTTTCTAATTTTGTATTGTTACAACAATTTTGATCCAAATTCATATATATTTCAGATTGCCCCGCCCACAAAAAAAATAATTATACAATCTCATCATCAAATCACTCATTTGACTAAAATAAAGAGGGAAACAGTACAAGGAGTAGTTAGGAGGCAAGTACTCCAGCATGGGTCTTAACAGTATCCGTTCGATCAAAATGCATCCACTTTACTGAACATTCTATGAACACAACTCACTTTAGGTCTATTATATTAGTTTTATTATGTTTGGTAAAGTTTTTTATTAGGTTTAAAAGTCAATATGATCTATACAATGTTTGATTGATAAGTTCTAAATATTATATAAAAGTTATTCATGTATAAATTTATACGGTGTTTGATTACGCTTTTTGTAATCCTACATAATTAATATCTACATAACTTATAAGGAAAACTATGTATAAGTTATGAGGTGAAGTAACTTCTGTGAGTATTTAATTATAAATTTTTAAAAAATAAAATTACTCATTTATCCCTATTAATTTATTTTTATTTAAAAGTTTACATAACTATTCTATTTTCCCAATTATTTTTCTTTCTTATTATGAATAGGAATGTATAATTTTGATAGCACATGCTTTAATTATATATTCACATTATATGTTACAAAATATATTCCACATATTTAATTATCATGTATTATTTTTTATTTGAAGTGTGAATTTATATATGATTTATATATTTGGTATATTAAAAATGTACAAAAAACACATGCAACATATTGATCGAAAATTTACATTATATAATATAAGATAGCGCAATGTACTTGAAATATATTAATAATATTTTTTTATAAGCTTTAAACATTAAAAAAATAAAAGAGAAAAAACACACACAATTCCTAGTTAAGTATAAAGAAAATTTGTTTCTTTATTTTTTTCAAGGGAGAATTTATTCCATTTTCTTACTTATTTTATTTGTAAATAATATACATTAATTTATATTAAAATCAATATTTAAAAACTAATAATTGTCTTTCAAGATGACTCAGTTGGTTTATGAAGGGTAGTTATCCACACGGATAATCAGAATTGATCCCTACTCAATGCCTTATGAATCGAGTTTACATATTCTTATATGATTTGCAGACTATTAAACAGTGGATAACAAAACAACCATTACATTACATACACAGTACAAACAAAAATAGGTTACCACAACTCTAAGAAGTAATTTTCTTGAAATTGACTTTCTAATTCTAACATAATAGAAATCTAAGTCTCATGATCGATGAGAATCCAAGATCCATCTTCTTGTTGAACCATTCCTTTATTCTTCTCAATCCACCATGCACTTGGTACACCATATTCTTCCTTCAAAAAGTCGCCTTGCTTATTCACCAGTGCAATATCTCGATTTATCTCCAGCTTAAACTCTCCTTCTACTCCATGTGTTCCAGCAATTCCATGAAGATAAACTTCCAGAAAATGACTAAATATATCTTTCTTCAAGTATTCTGATTTTGTAGTATCAATTACAAGTTCAAAGCCAACATCTTCATACGCTCTCCATTCTGTAATTGCACAACCTTCTACCTGTCCACGCTCCATCAGCTTCGGGATGGGATCAGGGACATTGGTAATCCGCAAGATGTGAAGGTTTTTTAAGTTTCTATATGCTTTCTTGAAATTAGCCTCTCCAACTCGTGGGCTAGAAAATAAAAATGCAGTCACTGGAAACTCCTTATTGATTTCGTTGACAACTATGTCAATTGCGCATAGTGTGCCCAATGATGAACCCATGCTTTGCCCGGTAACACTGATGCTAATTTCCTCCTTACTGTATTGCTTCAACAACCTTTTAATTTCTTCAAGAACCTGCCGCTTTTAATTTTAATAGTTATATACTATCAATCGGAAATCAAAGTTGCAAGAAATGTCATACCTGATCTCTGGCACTGGTTGTCCTGTTGAAATTTGAAGCTTCGTTAAGACAAGTATAAACTGAATAAAAACCTTTGTGTACAAGAATGTTATCCCTATTTTCACCAAATATTTTTGATGGTTGGACTAGAGACCATTTATCGTCTTCGTTCATCTCTGATTTCGTCTTGGTACCTCTCCAAGCAATCAAAATGTCTCTCCTCCCTAATGCAACTTTACCCTCATCAGTGGCAACAGCAACAAACCCAATCCAATTTGATTCTTTCGTCTCTTCAGTTTTACTTGAAGCTGCATACACATATTTGGTGATTTCATATGGGTTTTTGTCGAGCCCAACCCTTGTGAAGAGGTTCTTTTTGGAGTATCGACTTGTTCCTCTGTATTTTGAAACTTTCTCATTATTGAATGAGTCGCAGATGGCTTGAGGCATTTGGCCATAGTGAATAAGGTATCGTCGGAGATCATAATCCAAAGGGTCAAGTAAGCCTTCCCAGTTATTTTTTCCACTCAAAATCTCCCATCTTTCAGCTATGCTGTTGTCTCTATTTTCGATCCCTTTTTTCTTTATCAAACAACTACTGATTTTTCTACTTACAACCTCCCATCCTCTGTTAATGCATCCCATCTTTCTTATGATTCAATACTGGAGTATTGTTTTTTTTCTTTTTTAGATCTGCGGAAAAATGTGGCAATTTAATACTCTCACCATGAGTGATAAGTGGATACTATAATCAAAAATAGCAGGTCTGAGTCTCGCCACGATTCTCCAAAATTATATTCTCATTACCCCCACCATACACCTCTTTCAATCAATACGGTGCTGATATTTCGTAATGTTAGGTTAAAATTTAATGTTGATTTTGATCGTCACCTAAAAAAATTTTATTATAGCATATTATTAAATTTATTATCAAAATACCTTAAGAGAGTGTTATCTTATGTAATGACTAATTTAATTTTTAAGTGCATCTTTCCTCTTCTATTTCTTTATTCCTTCTTTGTATCATTTCTAACTCTATTTTTAGGGGCCCTCCATTTATATGAGGAAAAATAGACCGACACATCACTCAGGTGTGAGCATATATGGCTGCCATAAAAACTCCAAAAAGAAAAACCATGATCACGTCTCCCTCCATATATATATATATATCCAGGATCTACTTTCTTGAATAAGAATCTACTAATACTGGTAAATTATTAGATCCATTGACACATCACTCTTTATTAATGTGTATATTTATTACCACAAAAAGCCTTTTTTGTTATAATGTATACTTCAACAAGACATACCAGAATTTATCATAATTAATATTTATTGATATTATCATACATTGCGAGTTTTTTATCTATTTATTTTTTGTACATCGCGAGTTCTAATACTAGTGAAGGTAGAAAAAAAAACGTCCTTGTAAAAGAATTAAAAATCATTATCTTCATCTTCATGATCCATAAGAATCCAGGATCCATTTTGTTGTTGAACCATCCCTTTGTTCTCCACAACCCACCACGAAACAGGTACACCATATTCATCTTTTAACGTGTCCATATGCTTGTTAACAAGTGAGATATCGCGTTCCACTTCTAGCTTGAACCCTTCTTTTGATCCTTGTGTTCCAGCAACTCCATGCAAGTAACATTCCAAGTTATGCCATGTCCAATAGTCTCCACCACTTTTTAGATAGTCCGATTTTCTAGTGTCCATAATTAATTCAACACCAACATCTGAGTAGCCAATAAACGGATAATGTGGAATTATATCTGGTATATTTCGGACTCTCAGAGCTCGAAGCTGATTTTCAAGTTCTGAGAAGGTCTTATTGAAATTTTCATCTCCCACTCTAGGACTTGCAAATAGAAATGCCGTGACTGGAAATCCTTTGTTAATTCCATTGAAAACCATATCTACTGCATTTAATGTCGCGATGGATGCTCCCATGCTATGCCCTGTTACTGTTATGCTAACTTCCTCCGTCTTATATTGTTCCATCAATCTTTCAACTTCTCCAAGTACCTAATTATAAAAAAAAAATTAGATTATTATTGTTAGTAACAGGACATATTTAATTTTTTTTATTACATCATTTACCTGATCTCTAGCACTGGCTTTATTGAATAGTGATCGCGGATCATTTGAAGTATACATGGAATACCAACCGTGATGAACCTTAGGATCGGAGTTTTCACCAAAGATTGTTGGGGCTGAAACGCGAATAAATTCAAAATCATTAAACCATTCCATAGGGACAACAGTTGATCTCCAAGCAATCACTATATCCCTTCTTCCTAATGCTACTTCCCCCTCATCAGTGGCCACAGCAACAAAACCAATCCAATTTGACTCTTTACTCCAAGCTTCCCCTGACAATGATTTTATGATGAATGCTTCTGGAACTTGTATAGATGATGTCGCGTATACATATTTAGTCACCTCATACTTGAATGGATTCGATATCTCAATCCCCACTTTAGAGAAGAGGTTCTTCTTAGAATATCGGCTACATCCAGCATACTTTGATGTCTCGTCATTGTTGAAGGCATCTCTAATTGCTTGTACCATTTCTCCGTAGTGAATGAGGTACCTACGAAGATCATTGTCAAGTGGATCTAATAAGCCTTCCCAATTGTTGTTCCCACTAAGAACTCTCCATCTTTCTGCTATATTCTTGTTTCCATTTTGCATCTTTTCAATGGTTTCCCTTGGGTTTTTTCTTGGTTTGAAGCAGTTGAAGTACATTTTCCTCTTGTGAGTTAACTTGATTTTTTTTTCTTCCGCTATATGTATGATGAGGCCATTTATTGGTAATATAGTTAACAAATTGCATCATTCATTTATCATGAGAAGTTTTGGTGTTGCTTTTTCATTCTTTCAATTCCACACTCAAACTGACATTGCCTAATTAACAGAAATGTTATGGAAAGAAGAATTAAAGGGACATTCTTGACATTTTCACAAGGCAAGAATTCCATCTGTTTTGTTTTGAACAATTTACACTCATGTTGTTTGTTGGAGAATATATATTGAATGTCACTAGCTATGTGACATTCAAAAGTTCTTACCCAATAATTATCTATTTTGGTTTTTAAGAGAAATCCTTCATCAACACTAGTCATTTTAGTATGTTAAAAAACAATCTAGGTGAAATATTTAAGACTGTTACATTAAATAAAAAATTTGTAAACACCTGATATATTTTTAATCATAAGATCATAAAATTCAAAAAAAAAATTTAATTTCTTAAATTTTTTATCAAATCAGAATAAGATAAACAAATCAAAATGAATGCTACATTATATTTGCTAAAAAAGTCTCACTAGTCTTTCTTTGCTTTGAACTCTTAAGCATAGTTGCTTATACTTGGAGCACCAAATATTTAATATGAATAACATAATCTGAAGTGGGAGGACCCAAATCAACCCATTCATTTGAGTCCTCACACATTGGATTCATTGATAACTTAACTGGCTATAGCTCTCGGAATCACTAGTTTGATTATTTTTCAAATGCATTACTTTTGTCTCCCTCGCTTAATTTTATGTTATACAATTTAAATTTTACGAAGTAACTTTCTTATTTTGTTTGTGATTTGAACCTATGATCTTGTAAGAGGTAACTTTTTTTATTTTGATCATAAATTTGAATATATAACCTCAAAGTTTTTTGGAAAAATAATTATACATTTTAAAATCATATAAAATATTATAAATTATAATAATTTAAAATATTTAATAGACATAGGAGTAAATTGGATTAAAAAAAAATTCTTATTTGACTTTTGAGAAGTTAAAAGTGTCAACAATAAACAAGGGCAAAAAGAATATTAGCATCCGTTAACTAAAAGAATTTTCACTTTTCTCCAAAAAAAATCATTTCACTGTACGTATTGTAAAACAACTTTTGATGATGAAAAACAAATCTTATATTTTCATTTTTGTTCACTTCTATTATATTTTTACCCTAAATATTTTATTTTATAAAAATCACGCATTTAAATTATATTTCATATATTTTAGAAATAGTAACATTCAAACAACTAAATATTATTTACAAAATTTATAACCAAATTTAACTCCAACTTTAAAATTTCAAATTAAAAAAATATCTGCAATAGTACTAATAGTTCGTTTATAAGATCTAATTATGTAATAGTTCGTTTATAAGATCTAGTGTACAATATTATGTAACTATTAATTTAAGATATTATTCTTTTAGAACACATTTAATTGTATATTTTAGATGAATTGATTGAGTTGGATGATTTATCCCTTTTTTTAAAATAGGAGGTGTAAATCATAAAATTTTAAATATCTTTTACAAAAAGTACATAATCAAACACAATTTTATTTTTCAAATACCAAACAAAATAATTTTTTTTAAAAAAAAATTTCTGGCCAAATGCCCCACTATATATTTTCAAGAAAAGTTGAAGGGCTATGACCCACTACTCTGACTAATTAACTTTTTTCACATCTTATTAGGATATTTTTTTATTTTATTTGTGGAGTATAAACAAATTTTTTTTTTTTTAAAAAATATGTTATTTTTAATGTATCAAATTAAATATGATATATATATATAAAAAAAATCTCAATGATAACTGATATTTCCATTATTACACTTTATTTAACACAATTCTCATTCATACTCTACTCCCTAATTGTGGTCATCCTCGTGATCCATAAGAATCCAAGATCCATTTTCGTGTTGAACCATTCCTTTATTCTTCTCGATCCACCACGACGCTGGCACTCCATATTCATCCTTCAACACATCATCTGCTTTATTCATAAGAGCAATATCCCGATTCATCTCCAACTTGAACTCTCCTTCGAATCCATGGGTTCCAGCGATTCCGTGCAAATAAACCTCCAAAATATGACCATTTATCTCTTTCTTCAAGTAGTCTGATTTTGTAGTATCAATGGAAAGTTCAAACCCAACATCTTCATACACTCTCCAATCTGTTTCACAACCCTCCACCTGTCCACGATCTGGCAGCTTCGTAATCAGATCAGAGGCATTGGTAATCCTCAAAATGTGCAAGTTTTTCAAATTTTCACAAGCTTTTTTGAAATTGATCTCTCCAACTCGTGGGCTAGCAAATAAAAATGCAGTCACTGGAAACCCCTTATTGACTTGGCTGACAGCTATGTCGATTGCGCATAGTGTGGCTAATGATGAACCCAAGCTGTGTCCTGTAACACTGATGCTAACTTCCTCCTTTTTGTATTGATCCATCAACCTTTTAACTTCTTCAAGAACCTGTTTGAATGTAAAAATTACAAAAGGGAATTTTAATGAATATCACCTGTGAAGATATAAAAAGAAAAACAGCCGTACCTGATCTCTAGCACTGGTTGTTCGATTGAAATTTGAAGCGTGATTAAGAGAAGTATAAATTGAATAAAAACCTTTGTGTACAAGAATATTATCCGTATTTTCTCTAAAGATTTCGATTGGTTGAACCATAGACGATTCGAAATCGTCATTCCATTCAGAGACAGTTATAGTCCCTCTCCAAACAATTAAAATGTCTCTCCTCCCTAATGCAACTTTACCTTCATCAGTAGCAACAGCAACAAACCCGATCCAATTCGATACTTTGACCTTTTCGGTTTTACTTGAAGCTCCATAGAAATATTTGGTGATTTCATATTTGTTTCTATGGAGACCAACCCTTGTGAAGAGGTTCTTTTTGGAGTATCGACTTGTTCCTCTGTATTTTGAAACTTTCTCATTATTAAATGAGTCGTAGATGGCTTGGGGCATTTGGCCATAGTGAATGAGGTATCGTCGGAGATCGTAATCCAAAGGGTCAAGTAAGCCTTCCCAATTGTTTTTTCCACTCAAAATCTCCCATCTTTCAGCTATGTTGTTTTCTCCATTCTCGATCCCCCTTTTCCTTTTCAAACAATTACTGATTTTTCTACTTACAACCTCCCATCCTTTATTAATGCATGCCATCTTTCAATACTGGATTTGTTTAGTTTTATTGCTACTACTGAAGAACTTGGCAATTTGAATTTGAATGGCAGATCTGAGCCTTTGCACCATTCGCGATGATTTACTTCTTTCATAGCCCCAGCACCACAGAGTACTTCCTCTGGTCCACTCTAATGAATTATTGGGGGGTGTGACACACCTATATTTGAAGACATTCATTATAATATTATTCGTTTCATTTTGTCAAGTTCTTTTTTAAAAGTAGAGAGGGTCAAGTAGTAATTTCATTAAAAAAAGAACAGTAATTTTAAATTTAAATATAATAGAGTACTACGTGAACCTTACCAAATACTTAGACATATGAACTACTATTACTATAAAATTATTGTGACCCAAGTTCATTTCTACTTTTTCACCATACTAAAATTAAACTTGTTCGCTCTTCCACTACACCATTGGGAGAGACAAATTTATTTTTTTGATTTTATCTTTAACATAAACTATTTATTTTAAATCATTTCTTGAGTAAATTAAAAACTATACATTAATTAGTACAAATATTATAATAAAATATGCACTTCACATATTATTTTTAAGAATTGTATAAAATTTATTGTGGACAAGTAAAAGTGAACTGATCAAATACATTATCACCGAATCACTCCTCTTTTGAAAACAAATGTACCACACGTGAACACTTCATTGTCTTTGTTGTAATGTTTTAGCTCTTCTTGAATGTTAGCAATATTCAAGTAAAGTGATTATTGCATTGCAAAATATAGTTGTAGTAAAGTGATGAGTGGTCACCATCCATTAAATTAACACTGAAAAATGCAGATACTATGGATATAGAGGAATCACAGTTGGTTGGCTACCTCAGTTTGATTCCCTACATTGTAATCTCCTCTCCATTTTGAAGGAGGCGCACTGTTGAGAGCCAGAGAACAAGAGTATGCGATTTTGAAGTTCTATTATTAAAAGGACACAAGCTAATAACCTTTTGGGCAATCAATGATACAATGAGCTTCTGTGCGTAAAGAACCAAACATATACACCAAGGCATTCTTAGGGCAGAGGTCCTGCAAGTCCAAGGTGATGAATAGTGTAGAACTCATCAATATTTTAGGATCGCTTCATACTCAGCTAAAGACAAATTGCAATCTTCATCATCATCTACATCAAATTCCATAGGTTCTGCAACTTTGATTTGCATCTTATTCTCTACAGCTAATCTCAAGAAACCTCGATAGATTTGGATTTTTGCACCATAAAGAAGTAGGATGCTGCCTGGCGTCATTAAGTCAACTACATGACAAAACCAGAGTTATCATAAGCATAAGCAATAGATATTATGCAAATAGCAGTAACTTTATGACCATCATTTATGGTTCCTTGATAGTGGAGAGCTAGATGGAGCAATATTGGACTGGGGATACAAAAAGAAAGAAAAGATGGAACTAGATGAAGGCAAATGAAAGAATAGAGAAAAAGAAGATGGCATTACCTTGTTCATTACGAGTAGTTAATATGATAGTTCCGGTTTCATCTCCAACTAGACTCTCAGCTACACGTGTGGTTCGGAAAGAAGAATAGTGGTATGACGGTAGGGACTGCTGCTCTTCCCTCTTGTCAAACACCACATCAGTATTCAGGACCTTAACAATTAGATTAATGCCCTCTGTCCCTGGCTTCAACTCATCCACCTTCACAAATCCTAGTAGAAAACTTGTGACTTATTACAAAAATGCATACTTTTCATATATCTTTATAAATAGGGAAATCAAACAACAAACAAAATTATGGCATGTTCATTAGGATAAGAATCTTTAACCCAATTTTTTCCTCCAACTTTATCTAAAGTGTAGATCGTGCTTATGATCAGAATAGATTTTGGCTATCATCTAAAAAAAGTGATTTTAGTTTCTCATTTATAATGCAAGAGGCAGAGGGAAGAACATTCACTAAAGCCCTTGTCCTTATCTGGAAAAAGAAAAGATGGAACAATTGCCCTCTTTGAACAATCTAACTCCCCCATTTATAATACAAAGCTTAGTACTTCTCTTATTTTGCTACCACATACTTGGCTTCATTATACAAAATCTGTTTTGATGTTCCTCTTGATCTTATCTGGCCACTAACAAGTAAATGGTCACTCAGAGCATATCATTATGTGTTTGATTGACCTCACTGAATAATATAGCATTATAGCACGGTGTTTGTAAGACTTAAACATGTCAAAGCAAGGTTGACTTGAACCTACAAGCTGAAGGAGAATACAATAATTGCATAAATATAAGAGTATAAGACACTAAAGCACACCTGTATCTTTGATCTTTGCCTCCGTCAGTTTTTCCTCCATTAAACAAATGGCTTCTTCTAGTGTAGCTTTCCTACCTTCCTCGAAATTCCAAAGCTGATGTGTCGTAGTTCTTTCCTTCATGCTATACTCTTTGATTTCTTTCAAGGCTATAACAACAGCTAAATATACTTCATATCCCCAGTCTTTCCTCAGTTGCTGGAGATGCTGGTCCTCTTGGTCTATTGTTTCCTGAAGCACAAATAATGGTTATGAAATTGAAATCATGTAACTTAAAGTAGAGAGAGTTCAGTTGCAAATGTTTCGGAGGGGACATCATATAAACAGTTGAGTTAGAATTCCACGGAAGGAGAGAAAAACTTCAGAGGAATAAATTGTATCAATAACAAGATGTTTGCTAATTAGACCATAGAAACTATAGAAATCAGTTTGAACATAATCATTTTGTTGCCCATTTCACTAATTTATTATGAAAGGGGTGTGTTTATTGCATCATTTGACTACATGAATGTCTTGACTTTCCAGAACTTACTTTCAGAAATTAAGAAACCAAAAAATTTCATTTCATTTGACAAGCAACAACAAATTGAATATATTTCTACAAATATTGAAGCTTAAACAGGTAAAAGGGAAGAAGAAAGGATTCAGATAGATACTGCTTGAACTTCCCCACTTAAGGTGACAGTTTTGAATGGATTCCACTTGGGGTTCTCCACATTTGCCTGCCATATAGAACACAATTCTGTCGCTTTTTCCTCGGCAACTTGATGAGAGAATTTCTGCTTGCATGCAGCGCGAAAAGGACAAGTATCAATGGCACCAAACCTTTTTATGCCAATATCCACATCATCATAGTTCAGCTCAGAAAGAACCTGAAAAAGAAAGAAAACAACTCGGTCATTATCGCATAAATTCAGAATGGAAAAGTGAATGAATAAGGAGTTTCCACATTGATTTACAAGTGCAAACCCTAGCAATTCATGTATTTGAAGAAATTACATCCAGAAAAGTTACACAAGCCAGAGAAGTATTTCACTAGCATAGACATCAATAGAACAAATATTGGATAAACAGATAGACCTTTTGACTTTTACACAATCTTACAGTGATGACAGTTTATACATGCGTTTCTTGCAACACATTTTCCTAGTGGTGACACTCACGTCATTGAATCTTTTCAACCACATCATCCATCTAAAGGGAGGAGTAGGCCACATGCAGAAAACAAAAAATCCCACAGACAAGCAAAGACGTTACTCTGCAAGCAAATGGTGGTAAGGCAACAGGCCAATGAACAGGTATTTTGCAATGGTTAGTGCCTACATGAGCCACACCATTCTCTACTCTTAAATACCTACAAAAAATTTGATCGGCAACCGCTAATACATCCTCATTTGAGATGAAGTGTACCTGTTACAGAATTTTCATTTACTTACATGTAGAAAGTCAAAACAGGTAGAATTCCCAAATACATACTATACTATCAAAGCACATAAATGTAAGAATTCCATACAGATGCTTATACCAAACATCAGATGATTAAAACCTTATGTGCATATTTTAAGAGTTACCTCAGCCCATAGCCTCTAGAATTTATAGGCTAATAGCTAGGGTACTTCTTCCAACCATGAAATAGAAGTAGAAAATCAACCTAAATCCTAGGAAATGGATTCCTCAAAGTCATGTAATTTCCAGGTAAAACAAGGGAACCAAATTCTTCATCAAATAGTAATATAATTGCTGGTAAGTCCCAAGACGACTATCAGATAAACAGACAACAAAACTTGCCACATACTTGAGGAATCGCTGGTTATATGGAATTTACTTTGTGCATAGTTCATACATGAGGAACATACTAAACCAAGTCTCGGGAAAACACGAAATTAGATGGTTCATGAGAAATGCATGAGGCTATATCCATTGTCAATGATGATTTAGGAGTTTCGACCTAGGGAACTTTTCAGAATGAAATCCTACACTGAATGCTTTCAAATTGCTTTCTAAGCAGATAGGTATAGACTCCAATTTACATATGCAGATTGAGGAGAAAAAGAAATAAAGAAATATAGGATAGAAAGTTGTTGGCTTAGATGCTGAGATTTGCTTATTCTGAGCATCAAAAGCATATTTCCTGGCAAAGAAACCATAGTAGTAACCTGATGTCGGATATAATTAGCAGATTTAAATGAATAATGCTTATGGCATAGCTGTAGTAAAATTATGTTTAAGAAATGTCCAAAGACCCATACACTAATCATCTTTTTTCGAGCTTCTACTAGCTCAGTTGTCTCACTTTCCTTGCCCTTAAGCTTCTTAGCTAAAGTTTCCCAATATTGTCTTTCCTTGGTGAGCTTTTGCACAGTTTTTGTCAACTCTTTCACCTTTTCCGTGGGTTCTTTATCTTCAACTTGGACCTCCCTTAAAGCTCTTATAGCTTGCTTATATGCTTTAACTTCCTTAGTTTCAAGCTCCTTCTCAAGCATAGCTATCTTACTCATTGCAGAGTCCTTCTCTATCTTATGCTCAGCATTTATATACTTTTTATAATCCTCAAACTTGGTTCTTAGCTCCTCTTCCTTTTGAAGCGGAGCATTCATATACTTTCCAATTTTCTCTTCCTTAGTTTCTAGCTCCTTCTCAAAAAAGGCTATCTTCTTGGCTGCGTCTTCTTTCTCCTTCTCTAGCTCCTCTATCTTACTTGATGCAGCTTGCTGCTCCATCTCAAGCATAGCTATCTTACTCATTGCAGCGCCCTTCTCTATCTTATGCTCAGCATTTATATGCTTTTTGAAATCCTCAAACTTGGTTCGTAGCTCCTCATCCTTTTGAAGCTGAGCATTCATATACTTTTAAATTTCTCTTCCTTAGTTTCTAGCTCCTTCTCAAGAAAAGCTATCTTCTTGGCTGCGTCCTCTTTCTCCTTCTCAAGCTGCTCTATCTTACTTGATGTATCTTGTTTCTCCATCTCAAGCATAGCTATCTTACAGAATGCAGCTTTTCCCTCCTTCTCAAGCAAAGCTATCTTATTAACTGTACGTTCTTTCTCCTTCTCAAGCAAAGCTACCTTATTAACTGTACGCTCTTTCTCCTTCTCAAGCTTGTATATCTTAATCAATGCAGCTTGTTTCTTCTTCTTTACTGCGACTATCTTACGAAGTGCAGCTTCTCGTTCCCTCTCAAGATGAGTAATCTTGCTCAATGCAGCTTCTACCTCCTTCTCAAGCTCAGCCTTACTTGATAGCAATTCATTCCCCTTCTGTAAATCAGATAATTTTCATCAGAAGCTAACTCAACGGGATTTTGAACTCAACGGGATTTTGAACTTGTTGTCATCCCATTTGTGTGTTTCCAGTTATTTTTATCAGCACTTACATGGGTGTTTGAATTTTCAGACGTTGTGATGATCTCCATTGTTCTCTTAGGTGTGTCAATCAGTAAAATGCAAAGTCTGATAACCTGAAATTAGAAATATGCAGAGAGCTGTAATCTGTATGTAAAGCTACCTCCTCCTCCTTTCAGTTTGCATTAATCAAATTTGAGCCACAAGAAGGGAAACTAAAATTCTAAATGAAAGTTGACTGACCTTTGAAATGAACTCATCAAAAGTAACCTTCTACTGTAAATTATAATCTCAGTTTTTTTTTCATCAGCGGGTGGAGTTGGGAAAACTGTGAAAGAAAGAAATGGAGGGAACCTTTTGAATTTTGAAACCCAAACCCTAAACTTATTTCCAGATTAAATTAATGAACATTTCCCCTATTCCCATTTATTACTTGTTTAGTTTCCAAATATTAAGAAAATAATAATTTGCATAATTAATTTACTATGTAATTATACTGATCCATAGAATTTCAAAATCAATTTACTATTAACTCTATAAATATATGAAGATGTAATATGTAAAAAATATTATTATTTTTTAATTATCAAAAATAATAAATAAAAAGTCAAAATAAAACAGAGAGAGTGATAAATACCATTATAAAATATATGATTATAAATACAATAAATTTTTTACTCTTTAAATACAGAAATGGCATCGTATAACAAAAGAGTGTAATAGTTTTTGTATATGAAATTTAACGGAAATAACAATATCGTAAACAATAAAATTACTCTTTGAACCACTATACTTTTGTTTAATTGATTCTTACAAGGAAGAAACAACTCATATTAACTGTTAGTTTATCGATACAAATGTTTATAGTGATTTCAGAATTACAAAGAAGATATCGGAAGAATATTTTTGTTAGCTTATAAAAGAGGTGGACAATAATTGCTTGTAATTTCTTCTGCTAGTCCTTAAAAACAAATTTTCCAGCTATGGCAATTTAGATTCCTTCTTTGGCACATTCCGGAATAGAAATCCTTAATTTTGTTTGCCAATAATACCCTTAATTGTCCATCGATATAAACCCAATTTAGGCGCGAAACGATTATTATTTCGACCCCGAATTCTCTGTAGTCTCTATTCACTCCATATTTACACTAACGCAAAGCGAAAGCAAGCGATCGGGATTCGGAACCAAAGCATTGAATTCACCGGGAAAAGAAGCTGAAACCGTCTATTTCAATCCGTCGTTCACTTTCAACAGGTTTTGCAGATTCGTATAGTTTTTGCTTTTACTTCGATTTCTTCCGTATGTAGAAAACTGTGAAAATGTTTAATCGAGGAAATTTTGTGATGCATAATCAATTTTCGCATAATCTGAGCTGTGAATTTTTGTTTCAATTTGTAAATTTGGTGAATTGGTGAAGAGATCAACTCGTTCTTACTGAGACATTGATTTTAGCTGCATCATCAACAAATCCTCTATTTTCTGACAATTTTAGTTGGTGATTGATTTAAAAATCCATCAATTTATGTATGTTTTAGTCGACAGTTGTATGCGAAGATGATTAATCTACTTGAACAGCTCAGGAGAGAGGTGAATCCACGTGATTTAATTTCTCATAGCCTTGTCATCGAACCAGTACGTATAATTGGAAAAATTTTAAATCGCATTTTTCTTCTATTTTCCAGTTTATTCAATAGGATTTTCTTTTGCACTCATGAATTTATCATGTTATTTGGCTTCCTTAATTGGCAGGAAACTTAACTTCTGATCCTTGAACTCTATTCTATTAGTATCTCTAGGATTGGAAAAGAGGCATAAGACTACGAAAATATATGTTTGGTTCTCTTTTTATATCCTTTGCATTGAGAAAGCAAACTCTGTCCACATTCAAATAGTTTCTGGAATATTCGTTTCTTGTTTGGTTGGATTTCGTAGCACTTTGTTATTCCTTTGAGAGCCTGCAGCAGTTAACTACAAAACCATTCTTTCTGTGCAGATGGCAGAAACACAGAAGAGAGCATCCTCGACTGTCAAAGCAAAAGAAAACAACTCGTTACTTGGTATTTACCATTCGTTTTGGGTTCCTACTAGGGCTCTAACCTTTTTGTACCATTAGAAACTGAAAAGTGCTTTTCTTAAAACTTAAACACATCCGATTTCAACATTAATTACCTACTAAAACAGATAGCTTCCTTCAACAGAATGTTATGTAATACCAAATCTGTTTTAGTCAATATTACAGAGACAATCAAGATGAGATTCACATCACTGATCCATCAGTACTTGGTGTACCAGAGACATTTCAGATAATTAGCTTTCTTAAAATGAGAATGCCACGAACAACAGATATTGGGTGACATCCTTCAAAATGGGAATGCTACATTGAAGCATAATTTCTGTAAAAGATAGTTATCGACAAGTTTTTACTTATCCACATCTTGAGTAGTGCAGTTATTAAATCAGTAGTAATTTGTTAATGTCCTTGTGTCTTGAATAATTGCTGTTCACATTATGTTATGACAGATCTGGATATTGGAAATGACTTTCTTAAGTCGTTCAAATCAGTGTCTATGGGAGAAGATGATGCAATGGATTTCGACTTTGGGCCTATATCCAAGAACAAGAAAAAGACATTCAACTTTGACAAAGAGTAAACCCTGCATAGCCTTGTTTCTATTTTTGATTGCATAATTAGTTTATTTGCTAAGCTACTGTATCAAATACTCATATTCATGATTTTTATTTTACTCGTATATTACCTTTTTTATTGTGTACTTGGATCTAAGGTTTCTGTCATTAACTTGCAAGTCTATTTGTCTGCCTCTCTTAACGGTGCTGTTCTATGTTATAATTTGCAGTACTTTTTGATAAACAATTTTCCAGACTTGATTCAGGACAAGCTAAAGAATGTAGAATAACGGAGAAATGATATGTTGCTTACATTGACATTGAACTTTCTTCAGGGATATGGATTTCACTCTTGATACTGATTTCGGGAAGATTTCGTCCTTCAACGTTGACATGTCAGAATTTGATATATATCCCCCAAGTAAAAAGGATCAAAAATCAAAGGAGACATCAAAAGAAGAATCCACTGTTGCTGTCAACAAAAAGAAAGGAGATGGCTTCAATTTTTCATTTGATTTTGAGTATGTACTACCTTTGGTGGTCCTTTATATTCTGTTCTGTATTTATCTAAGGCGTAAATTATGCTTCAGTTCATCAAAACATGACTCAGTAGTTCTATTTGTACCTAAGTGGAGTATCCCCTCCTGTGTTTGGTTCAGGTTGGATAATTTCAGGTTTGGGTCAAGTCAGGAGAGTAATGGCAAAGCGAAGAACAACCAAGAAAAGGATTGTTTCAATTTTGGATCAAGCCAGGAGAGAGAGAAGGCAAAGAACAACCAAGAAAAGGATTGTTTCAGTTTTGGATCGAGCCAGGAGAGTAGAGAAAAGGCAAAGAACAACAAAGAAAAGGATTATTTTAGTTTTGGATCAAGCCAGGAGAGTAGAGAAAAGGCAAAGAACAACAAAGAAAAGGAATTTTCATCTTCTAAGAGAAGTGGTAATGAAGGCTCTGGAAGTCATCTGAATAAAGACATTGGTTTGTTAGAGGAGGGGACAGTTCAGAAACACACTGCATCAGAGGCCAGGGTGACTTCAATTGTCGATTCTCATATTGACATAGATAAAAGTCATGGCACCACAAAACATAGTTTATCTTCAAACAATACTATGAGCAACAATGAAATTTTAAAATTGCAATCTGCTGGCTATGAAGTTTCACTGGAAAAAGAGAAAAGTTTATTACAAGAAAAAATATCCACCAGCACTCGTGAAACAGTTTGCCAAGTAGAGGAGGGATCATCTTTGATATCACAGAGTGAATCAAGGAGGAATAATTCTTCAAGTTTGCAGGAACATGTTAATTCTGTGGCTGCGGATGTTAGTCTCTTAGGTGTAGGAACAGATTCTAACAAAGGGGTGCTTTTGGACTCTGACACAAACTATGATAAGTCAGTTTTAGAAAATTTCTCTTTGGAAGATGTGGCAACCTCAATGAAAGATGCTAGTGATAGGAGAAACTTTGACAGTGATAAGCACGTTTTGATGACCAACAAGGACAGGACTGAGACACATTCCAACAGTATGTCAAATGCTACTGAAGAAAAAATGCGAGACATGAAAGTCTGTAACAACATTCAGAGCCCAACTTCAGAGCCTTCTGCATCCTCGTTAAGCAAGTAGGTCAATATAGACCATCTCCCTTTTATTTATTCAGCATTACTGTCCAGGATTTCTAACTTGGAAACTGTAGGGCTTAGCTACTGCACAGAATGGTGTAAATAAGTATCTGTCATGCATTTTATGATACTGTGGTGCACTTGCTTTCTCTGAAATTGTCACAGAATAGTAGCTGAAAAATTGACAGTAGAGAAAAGAAGAGAAACTGGTGTCATCAGGTCAAAGTTTTTTATGCCATCAATTAAACCTGCAGCACAGATGCAGACAACAACATCACTGACTGAGACAAATGTTTCTGCATTTAGTAACAAAAGAATTGGCCCCATACCACAGAGTCGTCCAGCTGAAATAATGTAAGCCGATGGAATAAACTAGTCGAAATTTTGTAGACAGTGTATATGATATAATCTAATACAGATCTCAAGATAACAAAGATGATGACACTGGGAGCAAGGCTGGTTTTGCCTCAGATTCTAGATCTCTACCAAAGATTAACCCTCTTCAGACAGGAAGTCAGGAGGGATGCCAAGTTTTAGGGACTTCTATGTAAGTTTTTGGTTACTTACTTTTTGTATCATGCTTAATTTCCAAGTTTCATTTTACTTTACCTGGCCGTAGTTTCATGGTAACTGCAAAAATACTAACTTCTGTTGTTGATAATCCAACGTCATCGTAATAATAATACTTTAGCAAGGGCTCCCAGGCGGATGCTGCGAAAAACATAAAAACATCGACCGCCAAATCTGCTCCCCAGAAAAGCAAAGCAAGCAGTAAAGTTCTTACTTTCAGGTTTTTCCCCTCTGATTGATGCTTCCAACCAGATATGCCGTCGAATTCACCTTGTAAAATGTTTGACATGCATATATGACTATTCCTCACCATACATGGAATGCTTAGCTGATTATGTTGCTTAGTGTATATGGCAACTACTGTTTCTGTTTGGACACCTGCACTATAAAGAGTTAATATATTGATCTGATCTATTTGATTTTTCTCTCTTAAGCTAGTCATGCTTGATGCATATGGAAATCATTTCAACCAAAATTATTAGTAATACAAGATATTGTTTGGCAGACTCAGAAGATTAAGAAGTCGTCTTATTTGTTATGAATGATAATTCCATATTTCTAAGCCATATATACGACACTCTGATATTGTGCTTGATTCCAGTCAAATGTCTCTCTTGATCAATGAAAATAGAAACATTTTCTAACCCAAAAATCTTTGACATGTTTCCTACAGTTCTGGGGTAAATCTTCCAAGCAAAACTCAACAGATAGCTGCATCCGTCCCATGCAGCATAGCCATTCCAAGGAACATAGCTCCGATTCCAACTGCAAAGAGCACTCTCAACCAAGGAGACAAAACACTTCCAATTAAAGCTGCCAGGAATCTTCTAGAGACATCTCGCTTAAAAATTTCAGCGTACAATACTATTTTTCTTTCAAATTCTTCAAAAATACGCCTTCTCATATTTCTGCAAGCTGTCAATCAATCACATGTATCACATGCAGAAAACTTGGTACAAATCCTGATACACCTCAGACAGTGTTGCAAAAAAATTTGAAGTCCTCAAAAACTGTGGACCAGCATGGTGGGTTTAAAGCTATTTTACAAGCCAAAGACAATTTCAAAGAGACGCTGAAGCAAACACCTGTTTACTTGTCTATGAAGAGGAAAGTATCAGAGGTCTGTTTTCCTTCCTTTTTTTTTTGATAAAGTTAAAGTTGTATTCTTCAGCATTAAGGGTATGCTGGTTACCTCCAAAAAGTTTCAAGCTAAAACCATAATTACATTGATCCTAGGAAATCTACAAGCATTAAGGTCTGCTTTCCTTTTCTCCACCACTTTCCCTTGCAAAAGGAGCAACTTATCTGCATAGTTACACAACCACTATGGGACATCTTTGACATTTGTGATAGCATTTAATGCAGACAAATTCAGATTTCATGATCCTACTTCCATCAAAGCGTCTTGCACAATCACCCAATGGAAGCAGGTTTTTCTATAAAATTAGTTAGTTTCCAACTTTTCATCAAGCTGAATGTAGGCATGATTACTCCTCAATATTCTACAGGGGATCCTCTGAAGGTACAGAAAGTATATTCAACAAACAGGTGATTGGTAGAAAAGGAACAGATATATATGTTTGACATAGTTTTGCAAGTGCTTCACTATATTGGAATCTAAAAGCATGTCAACATTTTAAATATCTTCACCATTCTTCACTGATAGGTTAATGACCATGATCATTCTGTAAATGGTAATAAGACAATCGAACATGAAGATTGTCAAATCTCTTTACGTGATGTTCCTACGAGGATGAACACCAAAGAGTTAGGAAGCCCTTCTGTGATAGAAGATGAGGACAACATAAAGAAGGCTCAGACTTTGTCAAAGGATCTTGAAGATGTAAGCAGTGCTTCCCACTATTTTTTATTCGCCCTTGTTTTCTATTTCTGGTTTAGTATGAGCATCTTTTCAAATAACTCATGAAGTAATCACTGCCACCAATTTTGAAAAAAAGATAAATGCTTGTTCAGCCAGTATTTTTGTACTCTAAACAAATAACCAGACAACAAAAAGTTCATATTTTAAGCTTCTCTGAGAATTAGGTGCATGATACCACCTTCCCATTTTATATTGGCTACATGAACAAGAAAAAGGCATTCTCTCTCAACTTGTTTTCTGTTGGTAATTTTGACTTGTCCTTGTTGGTCCTTGAAATTGTTACAGTAGTTCCTTTTAGGTTTATATCTTTGGATTTAAATTTTCTTAAAATTCTTAGCATTGTATCAATCCTAGCTATTGAGTTCCACCTTAGTGAAAACTTTCAGTATGCTTTTGAAAGCAGGGTCTGTTTTCACTTCACCCCAGTAGTCCAAGAAGCATCCATAAATTTGACAAAGAAAAAGAAGAGACGAACTACAAGACATTTTTGACTGTTATGTCTGATTTTGTTGGTGGGCTAATGTATCTCTTATATTGGTGGAACATAATAGTATCCCAAATCAGTTGGTTGATGCAATAATTAGTGTCCTAGGCTCCTAGCCTACTCTTGTTTTAATGCTTTTAAGCGGATAATAGAAGTCCAAACATTACGGGTGTGCAAGAATTCTTCAGTCTTCAACTTAGCTTCTTTTTCATTCTAGCTAACAACAATTTGTTCTTAGGTGAGGCCAGGACCTGAGGCATGATATGGGAGACTGTCTTCAACTTAGCTCCTTTTCCTCTGTGCTAACAACAATTTGTTCTTTATTGAGGCCTGGACCTGAGGCATGGGACTGGAGACTGTCATTGCTGGCTAATAATAGTTTATTGTGTTTGCAGATATGCAACATGCTGAGAAAAAAGCAAGAGGAGGCAAAAGAACTATTAGTTCGAGCTGTTGTGAACAACAATAAGCTGCTTCTGCTTAACCATCCAATTTATAGAGAGAAGATATCCTTATTACTGACCTACTGTCGTGCCACTTCCTTTTCACAATTTCAATTCTCTATTTAAAAATAAGTTGTGTATGCCTTCACCCCTTAAAACATACACAGGGTTCAGAAATTTGCTGCTGAATTGATGACGAGGAATCACCAAATAGAATCACAATAAGACAACATAGAGGTATTTTTCTCCTATGTGTGTTACACCCCACGAAAAGGACTTGAGTAAAGATATTGAACACAAACCTTACTGCTTTGTTTGTCATCCCTGGTTCCAGTTCTGTAGTTTCAGGCGGAGTCTGCTGCATGTTCAAATGCAGTCGCGGAGAATCTTTTTTCTTTGCTTTCCTCAGGTGAAGAAGCATTGATTACACAAATGTAAAAGAAGACTTTTGCTGATAACAAACTAAAATGGTTACTCTCAGAGGCAGATCTTCCCGCTGAAGGGAAATCAAACTTCTACTAAATTTCAAGTACCCCACATACATTTGGCATCTAATAATATGTCCATGTACAGGTGTGGGCAGTCTGCTTATACTGAGAGCACCAGAAGATATTGAACCTCTTGTTAGTCTTTACACAATTTTGTGATTCTTTACAGCTTCCTTCTCTTGGGCACCTTATAAAGACACACCAAATGAGATATCTGTCTTCTATTACTACCTATATGTGATTCATTTCCAAATACAGGTCAATAGCCCAAGATCTGAAGTAACTCTTAACAGTATGAGCTAAAAGTTGAACTTATGACGAGTAACAGGCTAAAACACTGAGGGGGGAGTAAGATAACAGTTCTAAATTCTAAAGGCATACATTTTATGAAATTACTTCTTGTCGGAAAAAAATGAAACTGCCCTATCTTGAGCTGAATTGTCTTTGGGCTTATACACTTGGGCCTCTATTATTTCTAAGTTCTGACCTACGCAAGTTCATTCAGAGGAGGAGTAGGATTAATATTCGGGTGTAACTAGGACTCTTCATGTAAATAATCTACCTTGCAATTATTTTAGTATTTATCTTTTAGAGTTAGTATTTATCATTAGGATTTATATTCGGATGTAACTAGAACTCCTCATGTAAATAATCTACCTTGTAATTGTCTATAGTACTTATCTTTTAGAGTTAGTATTTATCATTAGGATTCTTTTTGTATAAAGAGATAGCTTCTCTGTACAGTCGAGGATCAAGAAATACAAAGCAAAATTTATTCTTCTAGTCGATCTCTAAATGTTTTTTCATTACTTAAAATGGAATCAGAGCAGTCTCTAGAAAATTTTTATGAACTATCGAGTTTGCTTGGTATTTTTTTTACCTCAAGTGACCAACTTGTCATACTGTGGAGCTGTAGGTGGCATATTTTGTTTTTTACAAAAATAAGAGGTAGTATGTGGTAAGAAATAAGGTATGACGTTGGATCATACCTTTCTAAATCTTGTTGTAGGAGAAAGAGGCTTCCCTTTGCAAAGTTGAAGGAAACAAGAGTTGAGAAGACTAATGAAAAATCAATTACTATTAGTCTCCCATGATTAATATTACAATGAGACCATAGTTCCTCTATGGAGATCTTTTTTCCTGATTAAACCCCATCTTAAAAAAAAGAGAAGAAAAATGAAACTTGGTTGGGGGAATAAGCAAAATGGAAACTAGTACGTTGGCCATAGGCTTGTTGTTGAGAGAATTATATGCTAATCCTCACTTTATTAGAGTATGATGTCAATCAGATAGCTATAACACTGGTTGCAGTTAAAGCATTCTTAAAGTTGGTTTATCATTGTTAGGTCAAAAGTGTGGAGGCAACTAATAGATTAGGTATACATAATTTTCAACGCTAGGTCTTTCTTAAGTAAACTGGAGCCACTGTCCATCGTATCGTGGAGCTGATAGTTTTTTTCTGTATATTGAGGTGAATTTAAGGCAAGTATTTTAAATTCAATTGAACTTTAGCTCGAATTATGTATATATGCGCATGTAAAAAAAAAATTAAAATGTACAAATATAATGAGACTATGGTCATTCTGAACTTCTTACTTTGGATCTTCGATTCAACTACATGACCATTTAATGCGTTGAGTAATTTTTTTAATTTTGACTAAGGATTATAGGTTTTTTGCAAGAGAAACAGGGGTATCAGGAATGAGTCTCTGTTAGTTAAAGAAGGCAGCTATTATCTGCTGATAAGATTGATTTTGGCTGAATCTAAGTATCGACAGGACATTCTTTAATCAGCGTGCTTTATCAAAATTTGACTTTTTTTTTATTCTTTGGACATGAAATGGTAGAAAAAAGAGTCTTAAATTTTGAACAAGAAAATTATCCGAATTTAGACAACTTCATATTACCAAGGACATGATCGTAGATAGGTGGCCGTGGAGGTCATGTATAAGCATAGAAGGTTAAAAGATATTGTTGTCTTGTTTTTCGAGGGCTTAGGCTTGTTGGTGTTTGTCGGAGTACTAGCCGAATTCTTGTAGTTCTTGCTTTTGATACCTATCATTATATGTTTATTGTGTTTAAGTTACTGCGCTATTTTGTTGTTGTTCTTATTCCTTTCTACTATTTCTCTTATTAGTTTTTATGTTGTTTCACTGTTTTTTCTTCTTTTCTATAGCTGTATATCCTGTACTTGAGCCAAGGGTCTTTGGTAGTACTACGACATGCACATACCTCTACCCCCATTGTGGGATTTCACTGGATATGTTGTTGTTGTAAGATTATCTGAATACATAATTCGAATAATATGCTACAAAGATCTTGAATTATTTTTTTTTATCTAATCCACAACTTTGCTATTGATGTTGAGATGCTGTTTTCATCTTAGTTCCTATTGGCTTTTGCATTAAGTAAATCTCTCTTCTTTTTTGCTGCTTGGCTCACTATATCTGTATGAGTTTCATGTTTATCAGAAATACCAGTCCATTAGGTATCATATATCTGCTTATAAATTGGTTGTTGACGTATAATAAACCGTTCAGCCAATGAACTTAATTCTATCCCCATCAGCATCTATTCAAATTAGATGAATTCCCTGCTGTATATTCACTATTTTTATCAAAGTCATCCTCCATAATCCCTACATGTGGTCCTCACTAAATCTTTATTCATGGCCCAAAAAAGCAAATTTATAACCTTTTAAAATAAGCTGACACAAAGAGAGTTGACATTTTCCTAGGTATCGCTTGAGAAAGAATAAACTTATAATTTCATAAATGGACAATGCAGACCCCATGCCTTAACATTACTGGATAGTGAAAATTGTTTGGATAAAAATAAAGACAAAAACATTGTGCTTCTTGAATCAGTTTCCTCTAACTAAAGGTCTACAAATGTATAAAAAAATTATGGAACATAACGAGTAGTCACAGCAAGAAATGTATATATAATGGGACTGATCTCTAGCTGTTGTGAAACACTCTGGCTAGTTGCATATTCTTGAATGATAAATACAATGTCTAAGTTCAAGTATTTATCTTGCATTATTTTGCTATTGCTTTCGTCTGCATTACTCGAGGCTCGCCCCATAAGGTCTATTAGGATTGCCAGGGAAGCGTTGGAGGAACAATTCGAAAGAGAGAAGGCGAAAGTTGGCGCACACGAGTGGCCTCAGCGAGTGAGTCCAGGAGGACCTGACCCTCATCACCATTTTAAAAACAACTAATCAGAAAGTTGTAGTCTTGCCAAGACTGAGTAAGAACTAGGGAAGTAAAAATCAAGATTAATCGATCCTCCCTACATCCTAGCGTCCATATTAATCTATGTTACTCAAATCCTTCAAAAATGTCATCGGGTGTGTGTTGGATGCTCCAAAAGTAAATGCATTTTTGGAGGATCTGACATGTGTGCCGCTGCATTTTTGAATGTACAAAAAAACGAGTTTTTTTGGGGATTAGTATGAAAATTCACAAGAAACTTGTTTTTCTGCAAATTTTCATACTAGTTCTCAAGAAAATCTTCATCCCCATGTAATTCACAGTTTTCTTGTAGTGACAAGTGACATAGTCCAAAACTGGCTCAGTATGTGTCTAGATACAGTGTGTGATTATAGTTACTAACAAGGAATGTTTTTTTTTCCTTCTGTATAATAATAATAATATGATCTGATGGTTTTTGAACATTTCCCTTTTGTATTGCTTTTTACGTTAAATATTCTAAACTCAGAATGATTTCTCTTTATATTGCTGAATTAATCAATTCTGATCTTTGTGACTGAAAAAATAATACATTCAAGAATTTAACTAACAGCTGCTGATACTAACTTTCGAATTTGATCCAAGTAGGAATTCAAAATAAAAGAAGGGAGTATCAAATTATCTGATGCTATATTACACCACTAGATACAAAAGTCCGGACAAGTTCAGCTCAATATATATTATTTTATTTATTTTAATTTTATAATTTTGTTATAACTTATTGTTATAATTTTTTTAATGTAAATTTTAAATAATATATATGGCATAATGTGATATTTTAAAAATTTTAATTTGCAAGCCGCAGCAATAATCTTATTATGACTAAATTATTGTAAAAATTTAAGAAATCTCATACTGTAATTCAATAATCTTATTATGACTAAATTATTGTAAAAATTTAAGAAATCTCATACTGTAATTCAATAATTCAATAATTATACTTTGTCCCTACAAATTTAGTATTTACTAAAAATCCCTTAAAATTTTTGTGTCGTGATACTTTAGACTCTGGTGATACATGATAAATTTAAACTGTTAAGAAAAAAATGGGGAAAAAACAGTACATTTAAACTTGTTAACTAAAATAGCTTAATTTACGGTAACAGATCATTAATCAGCATTAAATTAGCACGTAATTGAATATTAATTTCAAATTTTGAAAATCAAAGATTATATCATCTATTTTGAATACAATTTTCAAAACCGCATGATACATAGAAAACATTATGATACACAGCAAATTCATGTATCAATGCATCGTCTAAAACACTATACACACTGATTCAAAATGTATCAGCAAGCACACTTGATGGATTCAAAATGTATCAATGCATCATCTAAAACACTATACACACTTCATGTATCAATCCATCGTCTAAAACACTATACACACTGATTCAAAATGTATCAGCAAGCACACTTGATGGCGCAGTTATTGAAATTAATCACTGAAACATTATAAAAATTTACGATAAAAATTTGAAATAATTTCAGATTGAGTTAGTAGGTTTCTTTTTTTAACATTAAAGACAAAAAGGAACAGATTGATTTTTCAAAGAGTTCAAAACTATAAACAAATATATATAATTTAAAACTCTTATATAGAGAAGAATTAAGAAGAAAAATTGAGATCGTCTGTGATAATTGGGTCAGCATCGACCCAATTTTCAGCAAAATCATCAACTTGGATTTGATCAAGCACAAGTACTAATCTCATGGCAAAGGCACAATCAAACCCAGGCTTTATTGAGAGAGAGAAAACGTCTTTTCCAAGCACCACAAGAGCACAAGCATCCAATTTTCAGAAATTTCAAATTTTTTAAATTTTGAAATTCAAAATTTCATATTAAATGTTGTGAAACATTTTTAATTAAAATTAATAATTCAAAATTCAAAAAGTGGAAGATTGAGTGTTTTAGTGGAGAAAAAATAGGTATGATATGGGGAAGTGTGTGTTATAGGAGAGAGAAGACTATATATCTCTAAACTTCTACTAAAATTAAAAAAAAGGGAATTATGTAATATTTAAAAAAAGAAGGAAAAATTAGAGAATATTAAACTTATAGTTGTGTATTTAAGTTATATTTTCTAAATTATTCTCGAACTCAAATTTTATTTCCGGAAGCACTCGCACGGGTCGACCAAGATGTGTGTCCCGTATATTAGTAGTGGATATAGAAGTAGTGGATACACAAATAGTATAAAAAAAAAAATTATCTGGCAACTTTAGATACTAAATAAATAAATAAACATTAGGTGATTGCCTATGAAAAGTGAATCTATAACTGAAAAATAACAAAGTAAATAACGGTAATGTGTGAAAAAAAAAATTCCTGGTGATTTCCATAAATAGGATCTTCAGGTATCACTATTTTAATACGTTAAGTAATGAAAAAGTCTAATATTAGTAAAATTAATAAGTTTATTCTCCTCATAAGTATTAGATAATCTTCTTTCCTCTTGAGAGTGAGTTAAAATTTAAATTAATAACCTAATTTTATATGATATCAAAAGTATAATTTCCTTTTATCTTACTCGATATTGAATTTTCAAAAATTCAAATTTATTCATGCATTAAATGTCATGATTTCTTATTTGATATTGGAAAAAGCTTTTCTTAACAAGAAGTTATAGCGATGAGGATCATTTGAAGAAAAAAGTTTATCCGCTCCGGGTATTTATATCAAGCCAATATAAAATGTATCATTACGTGATTTAACAAAGTAAAATGAATTATAAATTTAAATACACGACACATATATATTAGCTTAGTATAAATGTCCGATTCGAATAAATTTTACCCTCATATCAAACATTTTGTAATTACTGTCAGAGATTTTAGTCAAAATTATGACAATCACCGCAATTTGTTACAAAATAATTTTAACACCACATTTTTGTTTCAAAATTGTTGCAAATCAACTATATATTTGATATACAATCTTCTAATGTTAGTCCAAATTAATCAGAAATAAGTAATAAATATTCAATTTTTTAAAATTCCTGACGAATATATGCATATATGTTTGCACAACTTTTCTTAACGAAAAACCAAAAATTAAACACCAATCTTTTAATTGTGGCCTTTCTTTCCCTTAAATTGGAGGACCTAGGGCCAGGGATGGACTCTTTCGAAGCATTGAAGGGGCATAAATGATAGGGATAAGTGACCATTTCCTCAAAGATCCTTTATATAAAGCTAAGACACTTTAATTTGTTGATACATATATTATTTTATCACTGAGATCCTAAGATTTGACTATTATTATGGAAGATCAGGCTTAATTAATTGATGATTAAGGATTAATTTCAGATGCACGCCTGAGCACTTTGCTTTAATCCTACTGGAAACTTATAAAGCAAGGGCATTGCACATTAATACATTCCTTGTTGGGATATTACTTTTAAATTTTCTTTTTGCTCTTATACTTATCTCTACAACATCCTCTTCTTTGAATATTTTGACGTATTGCTTTACTCAATGAATTATTATTATTGTTAGGTAATTTGTAATGACGTATTTTTGCAAAGTCATAATTTCTCTTAGATTGAAATAATCAAATTTGTGTAAAAGCTAACAGAGATTTTTATATAATGACGCTTGGGTAATAGCTAAGATAAGAGTTGATTACAATGTAAGAAAAATAGTATTTTAATGATAATTAATTAATATGAATATGAATAAAAACTGCTAAAACTTTTATCATTATTAATTAATTGTCATTTGATTTAATAGTGCTATAAATTTTAGAAATATTTATAAAGAATATTATTTATTTTAAAAAAATATTTGACGATAACGAATAAATTATAATTATTAATGTCATTCCTGGTAATAGCAAGTGGTGGTACCAGAGGCGGATCCAAAGTTAGGAGTTTGAGAATTCTAAATCAATTCTGTTTGAAGGTTCATATGTTAATATACATGTATTTATTTAATTTTTTAATACAAATATAGGATCTAAAAAAACTAATGGATTCGGTCATATTCATAAATCTCACTCAACTCTGCCTCTAAATGATACCCGATTTTAATTAAAAGCCGCAATGTTTATCATAGGAAGTTGTCAACATATATATCTAACTGTTAGTTGTCACTTGTCAATTGGGGCTTAAAAGCTCTTCACTTTTGTGCTTATTAATCTCTTCTACTAAAATAAACATCAAATAATTAATTGATATCACGATTGCGTTCTTTGACTTGTATAAATTGACAATATTAGTACAGTAATTGTCAAAAAAGCAGCAAATCAACTATATGATGTGATTGTGACATGGATTAGCACCATCTTTCACATACCGGAAATGCCACACATAATCTAATTAATGTAATGTAATGCCATTTTTTTTCCTTATTATTGTTATAATTTGACCAACGAGGTTATAAGAATTTTTAATTGATTTTGTTTGGGATTTTGTGTTTGATCCATTGAGATTCTGGGCCACGTCTTGAAGGTCGGTCACTATCCACCATTGACATTAAAGAGCACACGATGTTAGGAATTTTGTTATGAATCAGCCTCGGCCCAATGTAATGTTGCACAACTAGTTATTGAGTAGAGAAGAAGCAACGTAACTGAAAGGCCTTCACAAAGGTTGATTCGGGATCCATACACAATTAAATGCTAGCTAAAAGGGATAACGGATGAGAAAGAAGGATTTACGCATCTCCTTTTTGTGAGTTTCGTTGTTGAGTTTGAATTGCGTTGATCTTGTTGTTGGATTTATTACAAATTTTCACTCAGTATTATATTAGAACATCGATCTATGACCATTAATTATATACACAATAGTCGTTCTGAATTTAATCATCTTCAATATTATTCGATTCACATTATTCTAAAAAAATTGCTTGGATGTATTAATTAATCATAGGAATTAGATCAATATATCAACTAAGCTCTCACTTTTTTGACAACATATAAAAAATTATTTTGATATCAAGAACAACATAATCAATATGAGAACCATGATCACCAAATATTTTAGGTGGATCATTAGATTATTTTCACAAAATCCAAAGCATCATTCTGCATTACATGAAAAATAAAAGACATTATATTCCAACCGCCCATGAAGTGTAAACGGACAAGCCACCTAATAGTAACCAAAAAAGAAGTGTTTTAATATTAGCCATAAAAGATAAGATACTTTAGAAGAAGGGGACAAGAATCTTGTTATTTTATTGTTTGTCTTTTGTCTTTCCACATAAGGAAGATAATTCTTAGTACAATGTTGACTCACAAAAAAGATTATAGTAAATCATGTATATATGTCATTTGGCCTCCATATCCACTTTGCTAATTTTAAATCTTCATTTCCTTGTCTTTCTTTGATGTCCTCAAGCACCTTGTAGACAACAAAAAAGGCTTCATCATCGAATCCTTTTTATCTTTTAAAAGTCGGTGACGCAGTTTAAC